TGGGGCGGTATTTATAAAGTGTACAGTATTGTATAGCAATATCCCAGGCCTTCACATTCACTCATTCATTCACCCAGAGCAACTTCCAGTCCTGCAAGCTCTATTCACGGTAAGTTCCCTATACAGGTGAGCCATTTAAAAAAATCTTTGGTGCTGTATCTTTACTGTAGCTCTTTCATGCTTAGATATGTATTGATACACAAATGCCATTGTGTTACACCTGCTTACAGTGTTCAGTACAGTAACATCCTGTGTAGGTATAACCGAGGAGCAACAGGCTATATTACATACCTTGGTGTGACGTAGGCTATACCATCTAGGTTTGTGTAAGTGCACTCTATGACATTTGCATAATGATGAAATCCCCTAACAACATCTTTCTCAGAATGTATCTCTATCACTAAACAATGTATAACTGCATTATTTTATCATCTAACTTAATCTTCTATGCATTTCTGGGACAGTTCCTGGCATATTGGTGCTCCATAAATTCTAATTTCCCTTTCTGAACCCTTCACAAAGTCAGCGTGAGCTGCCCTTTCTCCCTTTCTTTCTTTTTTTTAAAATATATTTTATTGATTTTTTACAGAGAGGAAGGGACAGGGATAGAGAGTTAGAAACATCCATGAGAGAGAAACATCAATCAGCCGCCTCCTGCACACCCCCTACTGGGGATGTGCCCACAACCAAGGTACATGCCCTTGACCGGAATTGAACCTGGGACCCTTCAGTCCCCAGGCCAATGCTCTATCCACTGAGCCAAACCGGTTACAGCTGCCCTTTTATTATATTTCCCCATGCTCCCCAACAAATTGCAGCTTTAACAGTCTTGGCTTAGCTACACCATCCGGAAGCGTGGTTGCCTACCCGGACAAGGCCAATGCAAAGAGCAAGCAAAAGAGGCAGGGTGGGTGCAAGAATACTGTAGAAGCAGAATCCATGAGGATTGGCATTTCATTAGATAAGAAAGGTATACGGAAGAAGCAGGAACTAAAAATGGCCTTGAAGCTTCTCACCTGGGTGACTTCTTAATGGTGGTGACATTTCCCAAACAGGGAACAATGGAGAAGGGGCAGATTTCACAGGGAGTATGGAAGAAATTAAACTTTGTTTTGCCATCTTAACTTGGAGGTGCTGGTGGAGTAAACAAGTGGTGATATCTAGCAGAAAGATGAAAATAAAAGCTGGATATCAAGAAAAGTGGGTGCTTTCAGTGCCGCTAGAGGCAACTGACACCTTAGAAGCTGATGTGATTTGTGGGGGAGAACTTCACTAACGCAGAAAAAAAGGGCTGATGGCTGTGGACACCTTTGGAATATTTCCATCTTTCTGTCCTGGGAAGTCACAGGTTCAGCATGTCCAAAGTAGAATCAATCATCTTCCCACAAAATTGTACTTTGTCCAGATTCCCTTTATCCAGATCTCTTCTTTTCTCCTCTAACTGTGCAAATGCCACTCTTTTAGTCACTCTGGCTCAAAAGCTCAGTCATCTATGTCTCCTCTGTTAATTCTTTTCATAATAAGTTTACCCTATAAACAATTCTCAACATCCACCCAAACAACAGGACATAGATATAGTCAGTTCCATGGTATAATGGAACTATTTTGGATGGTTTGTAGTGTATCATTCTGGTCATATTCCTATGCAAATAAAGATTTAATTTCCTTTATATATGATTAGAGTCATACTCTACATGTTTAGAGTAACTGTTTTATTTAAGTATAACAATCATATAGAAATGTACACAATAAAAAAGAAATGTACACAATCATAATTTGACAACTTTTCATGTCATTAAATATTCTCCCACAACAATTTTCAAAAGCTCAAAGGTATCCCATCCCATAGATGTACCATAGTTTAGATAACTAACCACTGTTATAGGGTTTCTGGCTTTTCTCCTAACCTTCTCACCTCTCCTTCCACAGTGCTGCAAAGATGAATTTACCTGTGTTTAACCTGTATTTTGTGCCCATTTCCAATTTTTCCTTAGAATAATATTCCTAGAGACTGAATTTCTGGGCCAACAGGCATGTGCATTTTAAAAAATAAACTTTAATTTTAGAATTGTTTTAGGCTTACAGAAAATTACACTGTTCCTATATACCTCATACCCAGTTTCCCCTATTATTAATATCGCTAGCTGTGCAAATTAGTATAGCACATTTGTCACAATTAATGAACCAATATTGAGACATTGTTATTAACCAAAGCCCGCACTTTATCCAGGTTTCTTTACTTTTTACCTAATGTCCTTCCTGCTGATCTACTACCCCGCTGAGGATGGATACCACATTACAGTAAGTTGTCACGTTGCCCTAGGCTCCTCTTGGCTGTGACAGTTTCTCAGACTGTCCTTGTCCTCGATGACCTTGGCAATTTGAGGAATCCTGGTCAGGCATTCTGCAGAATGTTCCTCAATTGGGGTTTGTCTGATTTCCTTTGATCAGACTGAGGTTATGGGTTTGGAAGGAGATAAAATACCACTCTCGTCATATCTGGTCCACGGACTGTCAACATGATTTATCACGGCTGATGTTAACCTTGATCACCTGGCGAGGAAGTGTTTCTCTGATTTCTCTACTACCAAGTTACTCATTTCCCTCCTTCCTGTGCTCTTTGGAAGTCACTAGGCACAGCCCACATGTAAGGAGTTGAGAGCTACGCTTCAGGGTGGAGTATCTACATCAATTATTTGGAATTCTTCCGCACTAGAGTTAACTTATTCTTTCCATTTATTAACTTATTCATATCAGTATTCAGTATACACACCGATCAGTATACACACCTTGTATCGGTGTGAACTCGTAGATATTTCTTTTATTCTTGAGTTTTAATCTAGTAGTACTTTACTTGTTTCGTTGCTCAAGGCATGTGTATTTTTTAATACCCTGAGTGACTCACTGCTAAGCTACCCTGCCAAAGGTTGTACCAACTCGAAAGGTTAAAAGGAGGATCCATTTCCCCTTCAACGTCACACACCCTTTATAAAGTAGGTCAAGCGAGGCCTAGGCCCTCTCCAACGCCCCGTCTCTTGACGAAGAGGAGGTCAGCACCAGAAGTCCTTCCCCAGACAGGCACCTCACCCCTAGTCCTGCCCCCTCTCCTTGCCCCCAGTAGGGTCCCCAGGCTTCCCCACGGCCCCGCCCTACTTGGGGCGGAAGTAGGTGAGGCCGCGGGCCGGAAGCGCTGGGCGGGGGCGGGCCCTCCAGGGCAGACAGCCCAGCCCACTCCGTCGCCGCCCCACCCCTCCGGCCCAGACCGGAAATGAGGTCAGAGAGGGAAACCCTGGCGGGGAGGCTCGGCCCCCAGAGCGGCGGCCGCTGGAGGTGCCCGCGGCAGCTGGTGAGGGTGCGATGCGGTCGAGAGGGTCGGGGTCCGGGGGTCGCCAGCGGGGTTCCGGGCTCTGCGCCGTGGCTGACCGGTCGGAGGCTTTGTGGGGCCGCGGCGGCCGGCGGGAGGAGCGAGGGTGACGGGGCCTTGCTTTTCAGGGCCCAGCGCCTCCGTCCGGGGAGGCGGGGCGGGCAGTTGAGGGTCGGGCCGTCTCCTGGGCGACGGTCATCCCCTCTTCCTTCTGGCTCTTGGGGGCCGGCGGTAGCGTGAGGGCTTGGGGTCCAGGGCCGTGGTCGCCCTAGTCCTCGGGGGCGGGCCGGGGCGTTGGAGAGCCCTTTGAAACACGCGTTTTTTCCCCTCACATACGTGGCCATGTTGTGACCCCCGATCTCGGAGGGAGCTTGGTTACCGGGACTTGCTTTTTCGCAGTTTCTCTCCCGGAGGAGACTGACCGCCGGCCCCTGGAGAGCACGCCTGGGAAGTTGCCTCCTGCCTCTCCCGCCTCCTCCGCCCCCAACCTCCGCCCCCGCCCCGCTTCTGACTCCTACCAGCTTCCCCTCGTTCCTTTGCGTGAATCAGATGGTAGCCTGCCCTCTCCCCGGGGGTCCCCTTGGACCGGGGGTCCCCCTTGGACCGGGGGTGCGGGAGTCCCAGTCTTCCTCTGTCATCTGCCTTTCGAATGGCAGTTTTGGAGGCAGGAAAGGGTTCTGCACGGGCATTCGACTCCGAGTTGTTGGGTAACTTAATTCCACGTTAAAGTTTGTCCAGTTCTGCCCGAGTTTTTAAAGCAGGTCGTTCCTTATTTGGGAAGTAGATTTAGGCGAGGGGTTCCCACTTGTTTACCTGTTTTGGTCCCGGGGACAGTTGTTTCCCAAACCCCAGTCAGGGTGTTTTAAACTAGTTATTTTCTCAAGGGAAGTGGTCATCTCTGTGTGTGTGTGGCTTTTGACACTTGGAGAAGTTTTGTTTGGTTGGTAGCTTTGGAACTAGATGTCTCCATTGCCCCCACCGAGGTGGCAGATAAGCCGGCCGACTGTTTTCCAGGCTTTGAGTTCGTTGGCATTGGGACCACATGAAAGTAGGTTTTAGAAAAGTCCTTTGGAGAATGTAAACTGCACGAACGGAAATAGGGCCAGAGGGCAGCGTCACACAGAGATTTAAGCTCTAATTATGATCTTGAAATACTTTGGCCTTAACAAAGGGTAGGGAAAAAGTGCCAATTTAATGTATTTAATGTATTTAATAGGTGTCATACAAATTATATTAGACATTTCCATTTAAAAGGGCATTTTGAAGATTGGTCTTACTACTTTCATTCCTTGGAAGGTTTGCCTCTGAAGTGACCCCTGAAATATGATGTGTGATGGTTTGATATGAGTGAGTAGGAAAGTAGGAAATTTTGGAAAGCAGTCAGCTACAAATCTTAGAGACTCCACCCACCCCTGTCATTTCAGCCTCAGTTATATCCTGTTTTTGTGTGATGGTCTAGCATGAAAGCACATAATTAGGATGATCACTTATTTTCTGAAGGATGGGGGAAGAGTTTAAAAGTTGCTAATAATTAAAAATTATATAATATACTCTTACAAGATTCTTTACCTGGTAGCTTCCAGGTGGTAGTTGGTACCGGGAGGGGTATAAACTTATTCTCTTTTTTTCCATTTAGAGTACAAACCTGGGTCACTACAGATTCTTGGATCCCAAAAACTGCAAGCATTTTTCCTTAAAGTGTGTCACTAAGGTTGTCTTTCTATTCTCTTGCACAAGCATTCTTATCAGTGACCTCATACTATATAATAGTCCTTCATCTATGCTTTTGAAGTTTTTGCTCTTGTCTGATGAGACTTTTTTTTATCTTTTTGGATCTTATCATTAGGTAATTTAGTGACAAGCTTAATTGGGGAAAAGGGGGAAAGATTTATTCCCCTGAGTTTGCTAATATTCCTGTTGTCATTTGGTAAATGAGTTTTGGTGCTTAAAAACATGTTGACTTCAGGCATTTAACAAGGGCCACACACCCATTTTCAGTGGCCAAAGCGGGCATGGATGGTAGGATTCTAAGAGGAGCCAGATGAAAGGTGACTATTTTCTATGGAAAGGGTGGACTCTGCAGTGACATGATTTGTTTTGTAAAATTTTTCTAAAACAACAGATCCTATTCAGGCTCTCTTTTTCTTTCTGTTTTTTTTTTAACTTTCTTTTGGCAGATGTGGCCTCATGGATGAGCTGGTACATGACTTAGCCTCAGCCTTGGAGCAGACATCTGAACAGAATAAGCTTGGTGAGCTGTGGGAAGAGATGGCCTTGAGCCCTCGGCAGCAGAGGCGGCAGCTTCGCAAACGGAGAGGCAGGAAACGCCGTTCAGACTTCACCCACCTGGCAGAGCATACCTGCTGCTACAGTGAGGCTTCTGAGTCCAGCCTGGATGAGGCCGTTAAGGACTGTCGAGAAATGGCCCCAGTCACCAATTTTAGTGACTCTGATGACACAATGGTGGCCAAACGGCACCCAGCTCTCAACACCATTGTTAAGAGTAAGCAACATTCTTGGCATGAATCTGACTCCTTTACTGAAAATGCACCTTGTCGACCGCTCAGGCGCAGGCGGAAGGTGAAGCGAGTGACTTCAGAGGTGGCTGCCAGCCTTCAGCAGAAGCTCAAGGTGTCAGATTGGAGCTATGAGAGAGGGTGTAGGTTTAAGTCTGCTAAGAAGCAGCGTCTGTCACGCTGGAAGGAGAATACTCCCTGGACGTCATCAGGCCACGGATTGTGTGAATCAGCAGAAACTAGGACTTTTCTCAACAAAACAGGAAGGAAAGAAAGGATGGAGTGTGAAGCAGATGAACAAAAACAGGGCTCTGATGAGAACATGTCGGAATGGTGAGATCTCTTACTTAGTGAAAGATTTTTCCTGATTAATTTGTCCCAAAGTACAAATGCACACTCCTGATGAATTTAACTTTCTTTCAAACCAGCTTCTGTAATATTGACTTTGTAGCTCTCCTTTAACCAATCAGCTAGTGTTTATCTCTAGTTTTTATTTTTATTGATTTTAGAGGAACGAAGGGGGAGAGAGAGAAACAGTGACGTGAGAGAGAAACATTGATTGGTTGTCTCTTGTACACGCCCCGACCAGGACCACGGATTGAACCTGCAGCCTGGTATGTGCCTTGACTGGGAGTTGAACCCACCACCTTCTGATGTACGGGACTATATTCCAACCAACTGAGCCACATCGGCCAGGGCTATCTCTAGTTTTATTTTGTTTTTAATCCTCACTGGAGGATTTTTCCCCCCCTTTTATCTCTAAAGAGAGAGTGGAAGGGAGGGAGAAGGATAAAGACAGAAAGAGAGAGAGAGAGAGACAGAGAGAGAGAGAGAGAGAACAGAGAGAGACAGTGATTGGCTGCTTCCGACCAGGGGTGGGGTTTTGAACCTGCAACCAACGGAAGCATGTGACCTTGACTGGGAATCCAACTGGCGACCCTTCAGTCTTCAGGGGGACACTCTAACCCAGTGGTTCTCAACCTGTGGGTCGTGACCCCTTTGGCAGTTGAACGACCCTTTCACGGGTCGCCTAAGACCATCCTGCATATCAGATATTTACATTATGATTCATAACAGCAGCACCATTACAGTTATGAAGTAGCAACGAAAATAATTTTATGGTTGGGTCACAACATGAGGAACTGTATTTAAAGGGCCAGAAGGTTGAGAACCACTGCTCTAACCACTGAGCAATCTGCCAGTTAAAGAACATTCATGATTCTATTTCTTTCTGTCAAGAAGGCTATACTGTAATAGAAACACAGTTGTTACTAAAAATGGTTTAAAACGTTTGCTTCAAATGCAAAACCAGAATTTTATTTTCAAGACAGTTTGCTGCTGTTTATGCCATGTAGTTTATACGTAGGTATTGTTCTTTAGAGTCAGGGTCTCAGCAGATGATGGTGTGTATGTGTGTGTATTATAAATGCTGCTTCCAGGCACATGGAGTTTGTAAATGTTCCTGGCACTACCTTTACCCATTAAGAATCATGGCTTTAGATACTTCTGGGCTATAATTCTGTTCCCTGCTGCTTTACAGTTTGACTATATTGAGTTTGTTTTTTTTTTATGGCTCACATTCAAGTTGTCCGAACACATGGTAGGCTTTGAAAATAACAGTACTAAGTCCCATTAGTCTTATGTCAGATGTCATTGAGCCAGAAAAATTTGTATGTATTGGGTGCATATTTATAATGTCAGTTTTTATTTTTTACCTCTCAGATACATAGTCCTAGGAACAATGAAACTACCTAGCTTGATACTTTAATATTATCATTATTAATAATAATGTGTGATATCTGTTTCTCAGTGGGGAGATGCTGTTGGTATTTTGGATGGGGCAGTTCTTTGTGGTGAGGGATTGTCCCATGCCTTGCAGGATATTTGGCATTTTTGCTTTGTTTCCATCCACCTCCCTCTTCATATTATCAAACCAGATGCCTCTGTTTCCTAGGTGGGTTGAATAGTCTCAATTGAGTACCATTGAATTCTATTTTTATATTAGTTAGCATTTATGAAGCACTAACTGTGTGCCAGGCACCGTACTATTGTGCATAACATATATTCTTTCTTAATGCTCACAACTCCACTATTTGTATTTTATAGAAGAGGAAATGGAGGTTAAGCATGGTTAGATAATTTGCCCAAAGGTGGCAAAACTGGAAGTCAAACCTGATTCCTAAGTTCATGTTTAACCACCATGTTTCCTACCTTTTGACTATGCCTTTTCCATGGCTCTTTTTTCTCTCATCTTAACTTCTATGACCTAAGGATGTATGACTTTTCTTAGGACTTTGCTTCTTTTGAAATTTGTCTGAAAAACAAAGACATAAATCTTGGGACCTCTGAGGTGAGGCTGTGTGAGTAACAGGAAAAGCTTTGTAGGTCTGTATGCCTGTACCTTTCCTGGGTGGATGTTTAATCCAGCTGCACAACTAGGTAGGCTTATGATTTGGCTTTTTAAATTTTCCTCTAATGCATATTCCAAGGTCTATTTACCCAATTTATATATAAATTTTGGGTTATAAAGATCTCTCCCCCATCATGCTATTAAACAAGAAATACTTCCAAGAATCCTCTTGGTTACTCTTTTCATAAATTTATTTGGATGTGCTAATTTATTCACAGATCAAAGTGTAGACCTTTACTTTTTATCAGTTGTATTGAGGTTTGTCAAATTGTATATGATCCAACTTGTAAAATTATTAGGATGAATTGATCATTTAGCTTAGCCTAGTCTTAGTGGCTAGAAAGAGTTCTTATAAAAAGCATGCATTAGGTGTTTTAGGATCAAAAACGTATGTCTCAATCAGAGAGCTTTATTTCTAATTTCCTTAAATTCACTGCTAACTAAACTTGGAGTCCTTTTAAGTGTAACCAAGAATTCTTTTTGCTTTTTCTCTTTCTGTTCTTTAATTCTACACCAGCCAGTCCCCTGAGTTCTGAAGAACTGAAAGGGGTTGTGATATAATAGCTTTCTTATGCCTGTAAAAAGATCAGTTATTATTTTAATATTTTTCTGTGCATGTGTGTTCCATTCTAACAACTCTTTTATAAAGTTACTTTCTACTGATTTTTATTAAAATTGCTTATAAAGCAGTTATTAATTAGGTGATTTATAGCCTAATTTTGCTCTATTCTCCCCTAACACATCATTCATCTGTTCTCTTTGAATATAGCTTAACTTCTTTTCTTTCATAAATGAGTTGGTTTGGTGATGGTCTGAGGTTGCAGTTAGGAGCCTTCCTCTGATGATGTATTAGAGGCTGATCTTACAGCAAAGAAAATATTCCTTTCTCTTGGAAGGCAAGTGACAGAGATAGAGTGCTAAACCTTCCCCTCCTTCGCCAGCCCGAGCTGACCTTCTGCGGCCCCTTGGTGCCTCTTGTTTTCTTATTTTTATAGAAAATCAATATCCCTTCTGACACAAACAATAGCTCAGAAGCAAGAATAAATGGCAGAAAGCTGAGATCTCTGTCTATCACCTCTCACTTTAACTCCCCCAAACTCTTTAATTATGAGCGGGCTTTGCTCCAGGTGTTTGTGACAGTGAAATTGCTAAATGAGGACCATTTTAACCAAAGATTGGGTGATCAATAACACTCTATAGCAGTAGCTTGTTGGATCAATAGCATTCATTATTTCATGGTTAAGGTAAGTAGCCTCCTTTGCGAGTGGAGGTCATTAATCAGGGGTTTCTGGAGCTGTAGAAAAGAATATATGAGGTAGGTTGAAGATGTTCTGTTTTCTATTCTGTAAATAGGGATGCTGACCAACAGTATATTACCATTGTTGTAAATGAGACTTTTGCATTTGAGAGTATTGAATAGCTAGCATAGTGTTCTTACGTAGATTTAGCCAGAGTTCTGCTAGTACATCCTTTGGAACAACTAAAAAAGACAACTTGGGAGGTGGATCTGATACTATTGTATTTGAGGATCTGTCTCTTGAAAGAAATGCTAGAATTATTCTGTATGGTTCCAGAGGAAGGAACTTGGACTCATAAAGTATAGAGTTAAGTGTTGCCTCAGTATAGATAGAACATTCAGAAAATTAGAACTCTGTAAAAATGAAGTGAATTGTTTCACTAGGTGATGAGTTCTGGATCACTGTAGGGATTCAAGCCTGGGGTTGGTGACCACTTACTGTGTTTTTGTGAAGTTGGAGAGTTTGAACCGAATGACCTCTAAAGTCCCTGCAAAACTGAGAGTCTATAATTCTTTTCAGTCACAACCTCCTTCCCATCATTGTAGCTTCATTTTAAAATAAAGCACCTGCTAAGCAGCCTCCACTGCCCACTAAGATACTTACGAAGGCATAAAACATCGCACACGTCAGCAGAAACGAGGACTGACAGTTGGCCTTTTGCCAAGATTTCCCCAAACTACAAGGTTGATAGAGCTATATTGGAGAGGCAGTTGGAAGCCCTCCTCAGCAGTGCTGAGTCTTCCCTGAAGGTGGACAGCGAGGCCCTGCATCCTTTCTCTGTAGTCAGCTCTTGGTTCAGAAAAGCAAGGCTTATTTTGATCAGAAATTGAGCAGCTGCTGTTTGAGCCAGCATGTTGTTCCATCCTTTACTTTCCCATCACTATCTTTCATTTTCTGTTTGGAAACTGTAACTCCCAGAATATACTTGGATGCGGAATCGCAGTGTTTTCTGTGTATATATTTGTGTTTGAGGGTAGGGAGGAAGTAGTCACAGCATGTTAAGTCCTAGGAAATAGAGTCTCCAAAAATAAAGTTTACTGTTGGTATCGGCAGAGAAGGAAAAAGCACTCATAATAGAGCATTCTGGAAATTGTAGTGTTTTCTATGCCTTCATTTATTGCAGACTCCTAAAATGGGGTCAGAATCAGGCAGGGAGTATTAGAAGATCCTGTCTCAGTCTAACATAGCTATCTGAGATAAAAGCCCACCAGTGACACTGGGAATTAGGCTAGGGCAGCGGTTCTCAACCTGGGGGTCACGACCCCTTTGGCGGTTGAACGACCCTTTCACAGGGGTCGCCTAAGACCATCCTGCATATCAGATATTTACATTATGATTCATAACAGTAGCAACGTTACAGTTATGAAGTAGCAACGAAAATAATTTTATGGTTGGGGGTCACCACAACATGAGAAACTGTATTTAAAGGGCCAGAAGGTTGAGAACCACTGGGCTAGGGGCTTTGCACATCCTCTTGGCCGGTTGTAGAGGTGAGAAGAGCATGTTACTACCCATAACCAAAGGAGCACAGAATGGGAAGATAATTTACACACCCTTTCTGTTGGTGAATACCAGATTCTAGGTCAACCGGTCTGAACAAGAGGTCTTTGAACAAGTTCTGCTGA